AGCCGAGTGCGCGTGACGCCACAACCACCTGTTGACCGCCGGGCCGGTATCGACCCGCCCCCTACATGTGGGCAGGAGGCACCGTCACAGGACGTCGCAACCATGCACGACTCACGTATGCAGAATAAACATGCTCACAATAGCGTTCACATGTTTGGAATAACGTTTACCATTACTAAAGTGGGTTTAAGAAACCATTGCGATTGCAAGTAACGTCATTCAGTCATTGGGTGTTGTAACGTATATGAGCCCTATATCGACCCCGTTTGGAAATATATAAGAAATCTTTTTTGAAAGGTAACCAAAAACAACGTTTGTTATCTGAAACATGTGCTGATGTTTTGGAAATAACTTTCCTTCTCATAATCATCTAGCCTTCTATATACACTGACGAGCTTAAGATCTATACCAAAATCAAATTGTACAAATTGGTTTCGAACACGAAACAATGTTCCCAAATCATGTGCAACTAATCGTAGAAATACAGCAGACACAGGTGAAACTGAAAACCTTACTTTTGTTCACTGACCCGTGAAGATTCCGGGGTAGAATAGGTCTTCAGCAACCCATGCCTGACGCAAGAGGCGACTAACGGGATCGGGGGTTCAGGCTCGCTGACTTAGTTGATGCATGTCATCGTATCCCAATTACGGAGATCGATGCTCATGATGTCAATCACTGGATTGTCTGGTCCAGGCTCGATTATTTACAGGCCGCCGTCATATAGCTGGAATACTGCTGAGTGCGGCGTTAAACAACAAACAAACAAACTTGCCATGCCGCCGCGGCAAAACAAATCAGACAATCAAGTGATGGACCAGAAATCCAGCCACACGATAGCGAATTTACTGGTTTTGCTGCAACTAAAAAACTAATTTCATCAATTTTGAATTACGTCTGCTGTGTACAAGTGCAGAGACACTGCTGCTTTTAAGTAGATAAAAAACGTCAAGTAAGTAGTAAGTTCGTTAGCGTCATCACTCTTGCCATCCAATCCTGGGGATAGGTTTTTGTCACTCTGAATCTTCTTGCAAAGATCGAAATATGAAACAGATGAGACGTTCTCGCTTGACTTTTTTTCTAATTCAGAGGCTTAAATCAGTGGAGTGGATGAGTATGGTTTTACGCCACAATATTCCAGCAATATCACGGCGGGGGACACCAGAAATGGGCTTCACACATTGTACCAATGTGGGAAATCGAACCCAGCGTCAAACCCAGCGAACGCTTTAACCGCTAGGCTACCCCACCACCCTTATTTCAATGGAAGTGAATTGGCTATGTGACCATTACTGAACGATATTAGATCATCGATTTGCCCGAAACTTAAGTAAAACGGACAAATTCCCTTGTTTTGAGTTTGCCAGTCCGAGCAGAAATTCCACATTCATAAAGAAACAGACCAAATGTCTTAACCCCAATTTTCACACTCATGGTATATGTGACGAAGTCCAGCATTTCACATACATTTTCTCAAATTTTTCTCCCATTTGTTTCAATTTTAACAAATTTACCTGAATCTCTGAAGATAGATATGTAACTAAATCTATGGCCACCATGATTAGCGACGCATGCCCCATGGATCAAGGAATACATTTCCTCGTAAGCTTGTCGTGTGGGATAGTGAAGTCAAAAGTTGATAAATCAAATGTTTTGACATGATCTTGATGCTCTTCTGACATTGCAAAAATTCAAGCAAATCCTAAGGGGTTTAACGAATCTACATGGTATTAATTCCACATGTCTCAAATACTTTCTGTGAATTAACAGAAAATCCTTCTTTGATTGTGTTTAGGATTATGGTTTATTGTTGAGACAGGGATTTGGTGGTGCATTTTGTGGATTGTATGGATTTTAATTTCCCGCTGGAATCCAGTACAAAACAGGGATGGACATGTCTTCCTGTTTTATACATCGGAGTCATATCATATTTTGATGGTACTTGACATAATACCCCCTCAGTTAACATACTGTTCTAATTTGAGACATTATTTGATGTGTTCCATACTCTACGTTCTTTGAGTGAGTCGGGTTTAACGCCGCTTTTAACAGTATTCCAGTTATATCACGGCATGTCAGCTTAATGTGGGAGGAAAGCCCGAAGTGATGGAGGTCTCAGACGTTTACCACTTCGGTGAAACCAACGAGCACGGTTTGGTGCTGACAAACCTAGAAACATAATCGGGGCGAACCGGGATTCGACGTTCTTTGATCAAACAATAAATGTAGTGATGCTTACATCTATTGGTTATGGTATTTGAGGTGCAGAAAGACATGGGAACAATGTGTGAAGCCCATTCCCGCCGTAATATTGCTGGAATAAAAGCGGCGTAAAACCATACTCACTTACTCTCTGTTAAAGAAATGGACAATATTGGCTAGTCATCAGTTTTAACAGCCACCCCTGCGGACATACGTGGGAGTTCAAGACGGACGGGAGGAGAGAGCCTTAGAGATGATCCAAACTCAGAGAACTTCAATTGCCACAACTAATGAAATGTTGATAAATTACATGTTATGACAATGGAAGATAGATGACACACGACACGTCACATAGCCAATACAGTAGGCATCTCTCATGACAGAGTTAATAACATTCTGATGAATGAACTGTGCATGAGAAAGGTTCACACTGGGTTCCAAGACTCATGATGAGAATCACCCAAGGCAGCCTGGTTCTCTGGGTATGCTGCGCTGGCGCTACTAGGCTGCCCCCAAGGTTCATCATCTCTCGTGAGAATTTACGTTATTTTGAACCTGCTGATTATGGCCCATACTCGGTTATTTACGAGCCTGGTTCCCTTGGTATGCGGCGCTGGCGCTACCCGGCCGCGCCCAAGGTTCGTCATCTCTCGTGAGAATATACGTTATTTTGAACCTGCTCATTACGACCCAGACTCGGTTTTTTGCAAGCCTGGTTCTCTGGGTATGCTGCACTGGCGCTACCAGGCTGCGCCCAAGGTTCGTCATCGCTCGTGAGAATTTACGTTATTTTGAACCTGCTGATTATGGCCCAGACTCGGTTATTTACAAGCCTGGTTCTCTGGGTATGCTGCGCTGGCGCCAAAGGTTCAACGCAAATCGCGTAACAGTTTGTAATATTGCTAACCCAGGACAGTGGAGAAAACAACTAAAACGGAACTGTTAACTGTACACTGGGCCTGCAGCCTTAAATACCCAATAAAATATCCGGTTGTCTGTATGACAGCAGAACGCAGATATTAGATCTTTAACACAAGAAATTAATAATATAGTGAATAAGTTTGGAGAGGTGACATTCGTTCATTGTTATCCCTTGTTAATTTGTATTCATTAAAACCTACACAAACCACAAACAAACCACCTTCTCTTTACTTCAATATAATCATAAAGTTTAGCTACTATTGAATGAAGACCGCCTCCGCGGTCTAGTGGCAGAGCCGCCGCCCGGAGAGCGGAAGGTCCGGGGTTTGATCCCGGGCCGCGTCATACCAAAAGACGTTAAAAATGGTTCTTGTTGTTACCCTGTCTGGCGCTCTGCATTAAGGGGCTAAAACAAGGACTGGTCGGCTCGGAGTCAGTTTACTGTGTCCGATTGGGGTATTCATGTTAAACTGCGGCATGGTATATCAGTGGGCTAGCACTATAAATCGGCATCAGTCCGGACTAGTACAAGCAGCCACACACACACACACACATGCATGCACGTCGCTATATAAGTGCAATAATCTTGGACGCGACGTTAAACCCCATTTCCGCTCATCACGCCTCACTATTGAATGAAATTCTTTTCCACGGGACTAATATTTGTATTACGTCAACCAAGCAGATCCTTTAAGTTGTTTATCACTAATTATAATCCGTATTTATCTCCATATTCATGTTTTCATCAACTTCACGCTTCTCCCTCTCTGTGCACTACATCGTTAACGATATCTCTCCCATGTAAGAAAGATTTTTTTTAGTTTAGAACATGTTATTGTGAAGGGTGTTTAAGCAAGTAGGTGGTCATTGTTGATACTACGTATACAGTATCGGGGCTTGGTCTTTTTTACCCTTTGCCCATATCGAGGAGATGTAACGTGTCTTTCTGCGTTATGGTGTAACCTGCTAGTGGACAACAGTGTTGTGTGCGTGACACTTGCCTTTACGGCGGTCTGATCCAATGTTAAACCTCGACTTCGTGTATTGTCAAACGCCGAGTAAGCCGATTTGTCTCCATCTTACAAAAAAAACAAATATTAGCATTTCCGCCCTGTAAACCCACTGCGTTTAGTGTGGGACGTGTTCTAGTGTCCAGATGGTGATTGCCCAATGCTCTGGACAATAGGGATGTCAATATTTGTACATCGCTGCTAGTTAGATTTTCCTTTTCTCAAAATGATATTACAAATTCTCAGAGGCCCTTACGTTTCTAGCAAGATAAAACAACAGCCATTTAAGACAGTCAACCATTTAAAGAAATTAAAACGACAAAACGCTTTCCAGATTCATAATTAATCTCTGCTAAAAGCAGATTCGATTGCACAATTCCGACTATATCCAGAGCATGTGTTTATGAATCACTATCAAATAGTAATGATACCAGGTGTTCTCGAAAAGGTGAATGTATCCTACCCCACCGGTGTCACCCCTCCCAAACACACGCAAAGCCAAATGAATTGTTCACCTGAACACGGGTATGGTACGCGTCAAAAAAGAGAATTCAAATATTTCCATATTTTACAAACAGTTACAATTTGCAATGACAAACACTTATCTTATGGCGCAGATTGTATCGTTGGCTGGCCAGTGTAGCTATGTCACAATCAACAGTTTAATTAAGTCTGGAGATGGCCATATCAATTACCCCGTAGGAAAAACGCCCGTTTACCGCCATCTGCTTAACAGTTGCTATGAGAATTTTCATTGGTTGAGAACGTCAAGTAGGAAGCAGGTGAGGAGGTTAGCAAACGGCTGATGACGATGGATTTGGTATATAATGAAGATTTTCTCGTCTTCATCCTCATCCTCTGTGACAAGTCACTCCCCAGCCGCATCATGGGACTTCTTCTCTTAAGTCTCCTTGTACTACATGCATGGGCTATAGAAGGTGACGCAAGGTCGGTGCAGGTAGGAGCACGTTTTTGTTTCCTCTGACCTTCTAGATATTTACTTGTTTCCTTTTACAAATATTGTTAGATTTAAAAATTAAATTTAGAATTTTATATCTCAAAAGTATAGTTTATGAACCTATAGGATATTTTCTTTTGTCATGTTTTATCTTTAATCAGTGATGTGTATATATATTTCAATTAGGCTCGATCTTGCTTAATGCACTGCCGGGCAAAAGAAAGTATGTTCTATTATCGCTAAAAAACCGAATGGTCATTCGATGGTGATGTATTTGATACTGGTAAACGTTTTGATAAGGTTTATCTTGTTTTGCTAAATCCAATTTTAAGTGTAAACTTTTTTTTACACCGGCGGTTTATATTTGTCATGTCATGTGTCAATGATGAAGAGACGATGAGCGAGGACTATGCATAGGGTAGCTGCCGTGTGATCATTGTATGTCTGTATAGCCCTACTTTGTCGTGAGATTCTGTACAATATCTGTCTGTCAGTGGTCGCCTTCTGTTAATGCCTATTTATATAATCATGATAATCAACCTGTATATAATTCTGTCCTGTAAATCTGGATTTGATATATTATGTCTATGTCTAATTTGGGGCACGGGTGGCCCAGGCGACTAAGGCGCCGAAATTCGCTGTGCAGAGTTGCGTCCCTTGGGTACCCAGAAACCTATGATTCTGGGTTCGAACCCCGGTTCGCCCTGATTTCTAGGTTCATCAGCACCATACCCATGCTCGTGAGTTTCACCGAAGTGGTAAACGTCTGAGACCTGCATCACTTCGGGCTTTCCTCCCACATTAAACTGACACGCCATGATACAACTGGAATACTGTTAAAAGCTGCATAAACCCAACTCACTCACTCTATGTTTATTGGGTTGGGATTGAACCCTATGACTTCATCTTTTTCTTTAAATTTTGATTTGTTTTATTGTAAATAAAAAAAATGTATTTGAAATATAATCACCACCTCATCACTCAGTGTTAACTACGAGGCATACAGACGGCGCCAGGGCTCAATTGGTTCGCGATATCATATATGGTGTAACGCTACAGTGTCAAGGCCGGTACACGAATCTGCTTGATGGACTGCAACAGGGAAGTGGAAGCCTTCTGCCACATACCTTGTGTTGTTACATGTGATGTTAGCACACGGGAGGAACAAGCTGGTAGACGTCCTAATTGTCCCGAGTGTACATGCGAAGTGACTCAAGTCAGGAGTCGGACATGATGTTTCCACCAAGGCTTCCGGTACCTGAGTCGGCGACTGGGTCACAGTTAAGCTACAGTGACGTACCGAAGCAGTGTAGTAATTACAGCCTTAAGCCAATGTTAAATCCTTTGACAAAACGCCATGCTTGCAAAAGTTCGCCTTTATCTCTTCCGGGGCAGTGAAGGGTCATTACGTTGTCAAGATGCCCCCCAAAACATAATTGAAACAATGTTTAAGACTTTATTATTTGAATACCTATCGCTTCACAGCAGACCGTGCCATGTTTCATTTTTCAGTCGAGAAAAAACTTGCAAGGAAAGGGAATACAGGGGAATAATATGGAATAAAAAACAAGTAATGTCTTTTGGTATCTTGCGTAATACGACCCCTGAAGTAGAACGCCTCATTGTGGCTGTCAGAATGATCAGTAGGTGTTTCTTGTAGTAGGGGGGCGGTCGGGTAGCCTAGTGGTTAAAGCGTTCGCTCGTCACGCTGAAGTCCCGGGTTCGATTCCAGACATGGGTACAATGTGTGAGGCCCCGCCGTGATATTGCTGGAATATTGCTAAAAGCGGCGTAAAATCAAACTCACTCATTCGCTCTTGTAGACGGACGTCTTATTGTGGTCGTAAGAATGATGTGTCTTAGAGTAGGACGCCTTATTGTGGCTGTAAGAGTGAACCATAGTTGTTTCATGTAACGGGTGACTTACTGTGTTTTGTGGAAGGATGCCGAGTGCTTCTTACAGTATGATACCTTATTACAGGTCACGTGCTAGGCAATCTATACAGCCCAAGACATTACCCGGTTCGCCCCGATTATGTTTCCAGGTTTTTCAGCACCATACCCCTGCTCGTGGGTTTCACCGAAGTGGTAAACGTCTGAGACCTGCATCACTTCGGGCTTTCCTCCCACAAAATATACGGACACGCCGTGATATAACTGGAATAATGTTAAAATCGGTGTTAAACCCAACTCACTCACTCACCCAAGAAATTACTCGAATTTGATTCTTCAATCAGAGGCTATCAAATCACAACAGACCCCCTCTGATTGAAACTGCCGATTTGACGGTCCTATCACCGCGTAAGCTAATATTTATAGAAAAGTTCTTCATTTTCAGTCTTAAACCTAATTCGACATTGAAAATACATTATGTTTATCTCCTAATTATGTTTAAGAATCATAACAACATTCCCGCCATGGCTTAATCAGTTGTTTCATCATTATCATCATTATCATAATCTTCATCACCACCGTACTACTACTACTACTACTACTACTACTACTACTACTACTACTACTACTACTTCCCACTTCTATTAGAAGAGGAATATTTCAGGGCTATTCTTTTAGTCCTTTGTTTTTCTGTTTGTCACTAAATCCTTTAAGCCTTTAACTTAGCAATGAGGAAGGTTATAATCCTGAATCCCTGTAGGCTCGACAAATGCAACAGTCTTCGTCTGAAACGACGCAATGTTGATGCGGGAGCAGGTTACAGCCAAACTTCAGAATGCCAATATCAAAGACAAATTTCCGGCAGAATACAAATGTAGACTTATGAAAATCTGGATTTCATAGCTGAACGCTCACAATTAAATTAAATCCGCGAATACTTATGCTGCACCCGTCATTTCGTATTCTTCTTCAGGGTATTGACAAACTCACACGAAGATTCATGTCAGACAATAGACCCCACCAACCTCGCTCAATCGCTTATATTTACCAATTATAATAGAGGGTGTGGTTTGATTAACTTGGAGGCTCTTCATGACAGAATTGTTTTGTGCACTTTTACACACATTTATTTGTCTGATGATCCCCATGTGAAGCATGTCAATACTGATGATGAAAACAAGGCATTCCACAGTTGGAGCCAAGAATGTGGGACATAATCTCAATGTAAATGTTGATTTTGTTAATGGCTATGATACAGATATGAGTGTCAACCAAGCGAAGTGCCTGATAAAATCGACCCCGACTCAGTATTTCAGGGAGAGGCTTTCTGAACGACCACTGCATCGAGTTTATGGGCAGTGTGTTGAGAAGAACACCAACCCTGCAGAGTCCTTTGCTTGGATGAAATCGGCTGGCCTGAAAAGTGAAACAGAAAGCTTTCTGTTTGCTGATCAGGACCAGTCACTTCTCACGCGACCCGTCAATGTATGATTTTGCATCAAACTGTACATGAAATGTAGATTATGCAATGAAATTAATGAGACTTTCCAACACATTGTCAGTGGATTCCAAGCTTTGGCACAAACACAGTCTCTTAAGCGACTTGATGGAATAGCTCGATCCTTTTATTACCGTCTTCACCATGCTTGTGAGTTTGACACAGATGTCCATCAATGGTACGGCACAGAGTATGTAGAGGGCGTCATGGAAAATAATAAATACATATCAGACATATCCAGGCCTACAAATCTGACCTTGTCCTTTTTTGATAAATCCAATGAAATCATTTATATCATTGCATTTTCTTTCCCTTTTGACATTTATGTGATTGAAAAAAATCAGGAAAATCATGGCAAATGTACGGACCTCACTTTCGAAATGTCACGCTTGCATCCCATATACCAAGTTGTCCGACTCCCCATTGTTCTCGATGCCTTAGGTTTGGTACCTGCCAATCTGTGACTGACATTGGGAGAGTACCCGGGTTTGCTACCAGGAATACAGCCCTTCTGACAATCTGGGTAATGCTGAAGGCTGTACTGTTTGGGAGTCTTCACATTCTCCGAAAAGTTCTGGGCGGGTTCCACTAGGCAACGCTTCCTGGGAGAAGTCCCATTCGCTATCTTGGCTGCGTGTAGAGGGGGCAAGGGTCCTGAGCTGATGATGAGCTTAGCCAGCCTGACTGTGCCAGGATCACCCAAACCCTCTTCGCTGCATTTTTATTTTAATCTGTACATAATGATAATAATATTTGTAGTAGCAGTAGCAGTAGCAGCAGCAGCAGTAGAAAAAGCAGTAGCTGTAGTAGTAGCAGCAGCAGTAGTAGTAGTCGCAGTAGTAGTCGCAGTAGTAGTAGTAGAAGTAGCAGCAGATAAAACAAGTGTTGTTGATTTCAGGGACCAAGTCGTCTGAATACGAAGGCGCTTCGTCTGGCGACTGGCAAGAAGATAGCCCGCCCCAACATGCCCCCGGAGGAGACGGGTGTGGACGGGGCGTATGAGTCGGACATGAAGCTGACCCCAGAACAGATGATGATGATCGGCAATGACGGTCAGCCGGGCGGCTCCCGCTACAGGAGGAAGGCTGTTGCACAGGACCAGTACCTCTGGCCGAACAACATCGTCGCCTACGAGTTTGATTCTGATTTACGTACGTTTGTTTAGATCGTGTTACAATGCCGCCAGTAAATAACACCCTTTATGTGCATCAGCTTCCTCGTCTTCTTGGGCCAAGCGTGTCCACTTGCCTATATAAAAACCTAGTTTCTACCCTTGCCACATCAAGGCAACTTTTCTGGGGTCGACCCTGGCGCCACCTCGCGTAGATCACAAGTTGTGCCTCTTGTAATGAAAACGCGATATCCAATCAGATCGCTGTTCTTATCTCGTACAGCTTCACAAAGATTGCGGCGACCATAGGCGATGGTCTTGTCGATCAGATAACGAAATCATTCGCGATTTCATCCCTGACACAAAAACATAGGCAATAGTTTTTCGATGAAAAGACGTGTCAACAAAGACAGGCAGCGGTACATCGCTTTCATACGAAGGTGTACCAGTCGTGGATGTTGATATGGTGAAACGTTCTCTTATTGGACTTTCGGTATGTGCGATAGTCCAATCATATTTAGCACAGAAAAGCGGGCTTGATGTGGCAAGGGTGGAAACAAGACTTTGATAAAAAAAAAAAAGAGGCTAGAGGACGGTCTTGCTTCGGGAAGATGCAGCTTCCTCAATTACAATGTATGCCACAGAAAGAATAGGACAAAAGCCATTGATTGTCCTGGGCTCATTTCCACAAAGCGAACTTAGTGCAAAGGAGATCGTAACTCCCATACTTTAACATGGGCTTATGACCATCTTAGCGCTGAGATCGCTTTGCGGAACGGGGCCCAGCACTGATAAAAATCAGAGAGCCATGTCTCGGACATGTTGTGAAGATCCCCTTTTTGTACATAAACAGCATCCAACTACCGGGACAACATCCGCCGAGCCATACACCACTGGGAAGATCTTACCTGCATCAGGTTCAGGGAGTACTCCCCTGGACTCGGCGACGAGAGTCGCGTCAAGTTCTACCAGGGTGCGGGGTAAGTGGGCAATTCTTCTGCCAGGCGTTTCTATGTTTCTACTGAGACTTTTACAGTCAGTCAACTCCCTTGCCTCGGGAAGATGACCAGAGTGCCGGGTATTTAAGTACATCGACTACAGGCAGCGGGTAAGTGGGTTCATTGTCTACAGGGTGCGGGGTAAGTGGGTTCATCGTCTACAGGGTGCGGGGTATTTAAGAACATCGTCTGCAGGGTGCGGGGTCAGTGGGTACACCATCTACAGGGTGCGGGGTATTTAAGTACATCGTCCACAGGGTGCGGGGTCAGTGGGTGCACCATCTACAGGGTGCGGGGTTTTTAAGTACATCGTCCACAGGGTGTGGGGTATTTAGGTACATCGTCTACAGGGTGCGGGGTCAGTGGGTACACTATCTACAGGGTGCGGGGTCAGTGGGTAAACCATCTACAGGGTGCGTGGTCAATGGGTACATCGTCTACAGGGTGCGGGGTCAGTGGGTACACCATCTAAAGGGTGCGGGGTCAGTGGGTACACCATCTACTGGGTGTGGGGTCAGTGGGTGCACCATCTACAGGATGCGGGGTCAGTGGGTGCACCATCTACAGGGTGCGGGGTCAGTGGGTCCACCATCTACAGGATGCGGGGTCAGTGGGTGCACCATCTACAGGGTGCGGGGTCAGTGGGTACACCATCTACAGGATACGGGGTCAGTGGGTACACCATCTACAGGGTGCGGGGTCAGTGGGTACATCGTCTACAGGATGCGGGGTCAGTGGGTACACCATCTACAGGATGCGGGGTCAGTGGGTGCACCATCTACAGGATACGGGGTCAGTGGGTACACCATCTACAGGGTGCGGGGTCAGTGGGTGCACCATCTACAGGGTGCGGGTCAGTGGGTACACCATCTACAGGGTGCGGGTCAGTGGGTACACCATCTACAGGGTGCGGGTCAGTGGGTACACCATCTACAGGGTGCGGGGTCAGTGGGTGCACCATCTACAGGGTGCGGGTCAGTGGGTGCACCATCTACAGGATGGGGGGTCAGTGGGTGCACCATCTACAGGATGCGGGGTCAGTGGGTGCACCATCTACAGGATGGGGGGTCAGTGGGTGCACCATCTACAGGATGCGGGGTCAGTGGGTGCACCATCTACAGGATGGGGGGTCAGTGGGTGCACCATCTACAGGATGGGGGGTCAGTGGGTGCACCATCTACAGGATGCGGGGTCAGTGGGTGCACCATCTACAGGGTGCGGGGTCAGTGGGTACACCATCTACAGGATACGGGGTCAGTGGGTACACCATCTACAGGGTGCGGGGTCAGTGGGTACATCGTCTACAGGATGCGGGGTCAGTGGGTACACCATCTACAGGATGCGGGGTCAGTGGGTGCACCATCTACAGGATACGGGGTCAGTGGGTACACCATCTACAGGGTGCGTGGTCAGTGGGTACACCATCTACAAGGTGCGAGGTAAGGGGGTACATCATCGAACCAATCCTAATGACACAGTGTTGAAAAGTTGGTAGGACACGTGCCAACAGACGGTTATTCTACAATCTCAGTCAGTTGCTTGAAACTTTTTTCAACCATTTTTACCTCAAATTAAACGATTTAACTAGTTGTTTTGCATTTTTCAACATATTAACTCTTATCAAAGTAGTAATTGGTTTTCATAGTATTAATTGTGTCAGTTCTTCTCAATAATAGCTTCAGTAGCACGCTCCTATTAAGAAGCAGGCGAAATTTCAGGCATAAAATGGAGGCCATATTTGAAATGGCGGCCATCCTGAAAATGGCGGCCATTTTGTTTGGGCCTATAGCCAGAATTAATCACCATGGTTAAAGCTTTCATGGGACCAAGTTTCATGCTTTTAGCTCAAAGTGCACAATTCGGCCATTTTTTTACGTTAATGATATATGAACGGACGGAGAGCGGGTGGTGGCGTGTCTTCAGTAAGGTTGACGTGTGTTGTTCTTCAGGTGCCAGTCGGCCATAGGACGGATTGCTGGTGGACAAGAAACATCTATCGGCTCCAGATGTAACACTGTAAGTCTGTCTGCCTTGATGTAAATACGGCCATTGAACCATAAGTACCTCGTCTTACACACATTCTGAAATGCCAATCGACAGATGATGCATTAGTCTTAACGATCAGTTACGACACAGGGCTAGGTTTTGAGAGTTTAACATTACCATATGAACATAACTGATTGAGACGCTGTGAATGACGTTGTTGTGGCAGATGGGGTCTATAGCTCACGAGATAGGCCACGTGTTGGGATTCTACCACGAGCAGTCCCGCCCTGACAGAGATGAGCACGTGTCTGTACACATGGAGAATGTCACCCCCAAGTTTCAGTACAACTTTAAGAAGTACGGAACCTCCCAGGTCCGCACGGATGAACCTTACGATATCGGCTCAGTAATGCACTATGGCTCACTGGTGAGTAGACGTGTTTCTTTCCGTCATAGAGGTCCATTGGTGAGGTGCTGAATAGGATATATATGGAATACTGTAAGGGACACTCTCGCGATCTCGACATTTGGAAACGAGTTAAATATGCCCCAAACACGAGAATGCGAGATCGCGAAAACGCGAGATTTGGCAAAAATCTCGCGTTCTTGTCTTTTTAGTACATATCACAAAATGCGCGAGAATGCGACATTTGGACAATCTCGACTTTAATCTCAAATTAAACCACAAATACACGACATCGCGAGAACGCGAGAATTCAATTTCAATTTTTCGCGTACTCACGTTTTAGACGCTCTTACGCAAAGGCTCTACACAAAGTCTTTAAATATTTATCAAATAACTGAACTTATTGAAGTAGTGTATCAGCGACGGGAACGTCAATACACCACTCTTATCTATTGAGCATGTGTGTGTGAGTATATCCCTTGTGACAGTACCACAACGGGTGTGTAAGTATATCCCTTGCGACAGTACCACGGCGTGTGTGTGAGTATATCCCTTGTGACAGCACCACAGCGTGTGTGAGAATATCCCTTGTGACAGTACCACAGTGTGTGTGTGTGTGAGTATATCCCTTGTGACAGTACCACAGCGTGTGTGTGAGTGTATCCCTGGTGACAGTGCCACAAGGTGTGTGTGAGTATATCCCTTGTGACAGTACCACAGTGTGTGTGAGAATATCCCTTGTGACAGTACCACAGCGTGTGTGTGAGTATATCCCTTATGACAGTACCACAGCGTGTGTGTGAGTATATCCCTTGTGACAGTGCCACAAGGTGTGTGTGAGTATATCCCTTGTGACAGTACCACAGTGTGTGTGAGAATATCCCTTGTGACAGTACCACAGCGTGTGTGTGAGTATATCCCTTATGACAGTACCACAGTGTGTGTGTGAGTATATCCCTTGTGACAGTACCACAAGGTGTGTGTGAGTATATCCCTTATGACAGTACCACAGCGTGTGTGAGAGTATATCCCTTGTGACAGTATTACAGCAAGGACGGGAAGTCACCCACTATTCTGCCCAAGGAGGATGGCGTGAAGGGCTTCATGGGACAAAGAGATGGTCTCAGCTTCATGGACGTCAAGACCGCCAACGACCTCTACGGCTGTGCAGGTAACGACGTTGTCTTTCGAAATAGGAACGTATATAATCTTGTCACAATTTCTGTAATTTATGATTCTGAATCAGTCAGATATGTTTTCACTTTCAAGATTTTAGTGAAAACGTTTTGTTTAATTTACCATTATACATGAAGCACCCGATGTCAAACTAACTTCTCCTTCAGCACACTGTCCATCTTCCCTTCACTGTAACAACATGGGCTTCATGGGTGCCGACTGTACTTGTATGTGCCCCTGGGGCTTGACCGGTGACACCTGTGACGAGGTCATCTCCTCGACAGCACGTGAGTGTCAACAGCTTTTCCTGGGTCATTGGGGGGCACGGGTGGCCCAGTCGTCTAAGGAGCCGCGATTCGCTGTGCAGAGTTGTGTCCCTTGGGCACGCCAGAAATCTATGATTATGGGTTAGAATCCCGGTTCGTCCCGATTATGTTTCTAGGTTTGTCAGCACCATACCCATGCTCGTGGGTTTCACCGAAGTGGTAAACGTCTGAGACCTGCATCACTTCGGGCTTTTCTCCCACATTAAGCTGACACGCCGCGATATAACTGGAATACTGTTAAAAGCGGCGTTAAACCCAACTCACTCACTCACTCGTGGGTTCATTGGTATTCCTAAATTACAGGCGGATCTTCTCTCATGTCCATCCGGGTTACAATTGGTCTTCAGCATACCAGTAAGAGGAGACTAACGTGATCCATTGGTCAGGCTCCCTGACTTTGTTGGAATATTGCTGGGTGCAGCGTTTAATAACGAATATGAAATAGCTACGGGATAAATCGCAAAGAACAATGAAGAACGAAGCGTGGTTTATTTCACGATAGAACATTGTTCTATCATGATGTCATTTCTGGAGATACGACCCTGCGCTCACAACTTGATGACGTAACTAGGGCGACATTATTTTTGAGAGGGTAGTGTCTATTGAGTTGATCCCCATAGATGTAGCACGGCAACGCAGTTAAATGCGATGGCCCTAACGATCGCACCCGAAAGTGGGAGAGATATTACAATCGGTATTGGGAGATAAAGGCACAGATAATCGATGTAAAAATAGTGCGTATACCAAACTTAACCCCCCGTACATAAAATGGAGTTGTCCGACATTGCCGAGGTCGGATTGTATTCGGGGAGTCATCATTATTTAAATACGGGTAAAAGTTTTTGAAGCTTGTACAATTTATTGACATCCTTAAAAAAGATATAAAATGTTGATAGCTCATATAAGAAATAAACGACTTGTGGTCGTTGTTTAGCGTACAATAAAACACTGCAAGGAGAAAAAACCACTCCGGGCTGCGCCTATCATGGTTTATTCTCGCTGCAGTGTTTTATTGTACGATAAACAACTCCCACTCGTAGTTGTCTTAAACAAACAAACAAACAAACAGGCTGATTTAAAGTAACCGAGCTACCATATGCAGTAAAATATCTATATATACATCATCTTAGGAATATAACCTTTGTGCCATTCATTACATTAAGATTTAAAGAAATATTACTGGCTCTTTATATAGTGGCTTGAATGGAGTTAAGATTTCAATGTGACTGTTTTCTGCTCAGATTGCGGGGGAGTACTGACCACTCGTGACGGGACCTTCACCACTCCCAACTACCCTAACGGGTACGGCGGCCCCGTGACGTGTCACTGGCTCATTCTCGTGAGTACGCCACCACCATGCGACATTGACGACGACAGTACATATCGGGAAATATCATAAGCTGTGACAGTATCACGAGGGGAACATGGGGTTTTATGCCTCCAGCGTTAGGTTTTATACCACGAACCGGAGGATGCATTTATCTTACAGACATGTTTTAATGTGACATCGTAAAAGAATTAAAACAAATGCAAAATTGATAGAAAACACCTGTTCGATTGAGCTGAGGTTAACCTGTGCTAGGTCACGTGAATTTCGTTGACTCGGGAAAAACGGGCGGATTTCTGCTTTGAAGCGGGATATAAGGGATGTATTCTATCTCTGAGAAATCCACGTGCAGCCTGTATTGCTCGTGGCGGGATATAAGAGATTTGTTCCTCCACTGAGAAATGGTTTACCCTCCAAGGTGGGTTTCACAGTATTTTATCAAAATCACGTGGACCAATCAAATCTCATCATTCTGACAAGAAGGTATGATAATTAAATTTATTATAACATTGAACGGTGATGTACGCAGATGGATAAAAAAAAATATCATTTTTTAGTGTTGTTGATATTTTCTTGCGCCCCAAAATGACCAATTTTTTTCAAGATGACTTTAAGTATTAAGCTGATTTTCAAACAAAAACATTTTTATGAATAATAAATCTTTTTTTTAAATCTCTCCTTCGTGACCCTCCTGTTTTGTAGGGTCCCCCCGGCTCCAGCATCAAGTTGTGGTTCAACAAGTTTGAGATGGAGGATGACGAGGACGCTCCGTGTGGTTATGACTGGGTGGAAGTTCGCACCCTCGGGCCTCACCTCGTGGGACCCAAGTAAGTCACGCCTCCTTTATAGTAAACCTTCCATAAATACCAATACACGGTGTTTCCAAATTACCAGTTGCATCAATTGCATGACGCATGATATAGATTAGTGAAAAGAACCTCCGCTCTTTATCCGCGAGCGTCATACCAAAAGACGTTAAAAGATGGTACTTGTTGTTACCCTGTCTGGCGCTCGGCATTAAGGGGCTAAAACAAGGACTGGTCGGCTCGGAGTCAGTATACTGTGTCTGAGTGGGGTATTCATGTTAAACTGCGGCATGGTATCTCAGTGGGCTAGCACTATAAATCGGCATCAGTCCGGACTAGTACAAGCAGCCACACAAACACACACACGTACATGCACGTCGCTATATAAGTGCAATAATCTTGGACGCGACGTTAAACCCCATTTCACCTCACCACCTCACCTTTATCCGCGAAGATCCGGGTTAGAATTTATCTCTGCTAGCCGGAAGAGGTGACTAACAGGATCGGGTTGTCAAGTCCGTGACTTGGTTGATTGCTTGTCATCGTAGTCTGATAGTGTGGTTCATTGCTCCCAGTATTATCACTTGGCTGTCTTCAGCAACGCATGCTTTAAACAGGCGACTATTCTTAAGATGCGACTAACGGGATCGGGGTCAGTTCGCTGACTTGGTTGATGTATATCATGAGTTTTATCCTAATTGCCTAGATCGATGCTAATTATATCAATCACAGGTTTGTCTGGTCCAGACTCGATTATTTACAGGCCACTGTCATATAGCTGGAATATTGCTGAGAGCAGCATTAAACAACAAACAAAACTTCAGTGTGGGGTGTATATTGTGTATAGCGTGACACCTATGTATGATATATAATGTATATAGCGTGACACATATGTATGATGTATATAACGTGAAACCAGTGTATAATGTATATAGCGTGACACATATGTATATTGTATATAGCGTGACACCTATGTATGATGTATAATGTATACAATGTATAGTGTGAGACTTATGTATAATGTATATAGCGTGACACCTATGTATAATGTATATAGCGTGACACCTATGTATGATGTATATAGCGTGACACCTATGTATAATGTATATAGCGTGACGCCTATGTATAATGTATATAGCGTGACACCTATGTATAATGTATATAGCGTGACACATATGTATAATGTATATAGCGTGACACATGTGTATAATGTATATAGCGTGACACCTATGTATAATGTATATAGCGTGACACCTATGTATAATGTATATAGCGTGACACCTATGTATGATGTATATAGCGTGACACATATGTATAATGTATATAGCGTGACACATGTGTATAATGTATATAGCGTGACACATATGTATATTGTATATAGCGTGACACCTTTGTATGATGTATAATGTATACAATGTATAGTGTGAGACTTAGGTATAATGTATACAGCGTGACACTTATGTGTAATGTATATAGCGTGTATAACGTTTATAGCGTGACACCAGTGTATAACGTTTATAGCGTGACACCTATGTATTATGTTTATAGCGTGACACCTATGTATTATGTTTATAGCGTGACACCTATGTATTATGTTTATAGCGTGACACCTATGTATAATGTATGTACTTGTAGGATGTGTGGAAACGGCCCCTCGACACACTTCGAGCACGACAGCAACGCGCTCTACGTCCGTTTCCAATCCGACGACTCTTACAACGACTTTTCCGGCTTTGAAGCAGGCTACTCCATTGAAGGAGGTGATTATTACAGTGCCGATGTGTACTACGACGATTACGACAATGATTACGATAGCTACAATACGTACAACAATCACAACGACGACGACGACTACGACAATACGTGGTACTGAAGTTATTGCCAGTGTTTTGCAAATTTCCGGGTCGTCTTGGAACGGTTTCGTTTGCTCAATGAGTTCGTTATAGCAGATACATTATCGAGTTTTGAATACAAAAAATAACATCAAGCTGTTGACTCAAGGACGATCTGAGACAATTATGTAATGAAACCCTACTGTGATTTTCTCAAGTAATTATCATGAGCTGACCGATTTCAGACAAACAATTCGAATATGGTTGTACACGTTACGTGACCCCAGTCAACATTTGCTTAAATTTTATACCATAAATTATTTGTAAACATTTTGAATAATTTAACGATTATTTTGCGCTTAAAAAAACATTTCATCGAGACTAAAATAGTTATGTAGATAAACATATTTTCACTGCGTTAGTACATGAAAGTTCGAGGCACCGACGGGCGAACTCTCTTGTTGTGTCTGTCTATTGTTGAGTCTAGCTCTGTTGTTGAGTCCGTGTCCATTGATGCGTCTAGCGCTGTCAGGTCCTTCTCTGTTGTCGAGGACCCGTGAAGATCCGGGGTAGAATAGGTCTTAAGCAACCCATGCTTGCCGTAAAAGGCGACTATGCTTGTCGTAAAAGGCGACTAACGGGATCGGGTGGTCAGGCTCGCTGACTTGGTTGATGCATGTCATCGATCCAAATTGCGTGGATCGATGCTCATGATGTCAATCACTGGATTGTCTGGTCCAGACTCGATTATTTACAGACCGCCGTCATAAAGCTGGAATATTGCTGAGTGCGGCGTTAAACAACAAACCAACTAAATCTGTTTTTGTGTCTCTGTCTAATGATGAATCTAAATCTGTAAATCTGTTGGTGGTGTCTTATATATGTTCTCTTTGTTGTTTGTTTTCCGTATCCGACAACTTTCTCTGCCACAGTTAGTTGTGGTAGTTGATGTCGTGCGGTCGTAGCAGTGAGGGACAGCAGCGCGACGTGTGGCCCCTAGGTAGTAGATAGCTTCTGACGAAAATCTTTAATATTGTTCGTCAACGTCACCCCAAGCGTATGGTGGCAGACATGACGGTCAAGCGTTGACGTCAGCGTTATATGATTTAGACGTACTTATGAAATCCTACTCTGTCAACACACGGGGCGGTGGGGATAGAATAGTAGTTAAAGCGTTCGCTCGTCACGCGGAAGACCCGGGTTCGATTCTTTACATTGCCACAATATTTGAAGCCCATTTCTGGTGTCCCCCGTCGTGATATGGCTGGAATATTGCTAAAAGCGGCATAAAACCATACTCATTCACTCAATCACTGTCAACACACACGTACACTAGAAAGGTCCCCGTGAAGATTCGTCTTCAGCAGACCATACCCTTAAGAAGCGACTTACGGAAACGAGTGGTCGGGCTCGCTGACTTAGTTGATGCATGTCATCGATCCCAATTGCATAAATCGATGCTCATGATGTTAATCACAGAATTATCTGGTCCAGATTGGATTATTTACAGACCGCCGTCAGAAAACTGTAATATTGTTAACCAACAAACACAAACAAACACACGAACGAACAAACAAACACAAACACGGACACCTACATATTACCAGGAACGGTAATCGTATGGGTTTCAATCTAATCAGTGGTCGTCGTCCTCGCCTTGCTGTCTCTCATGCGTTGCATTGTCTCCTTATCTTTGCATTGATTATTTCTTGTAATTTGTACATTTCATCCTCTAATGACCTAAAGCCACGTTGTAATGTGCTTCTGGTTTGTGGGTTGTTTTTCATCAAGATTGATCGGGGAAATCGAAAATTAAATGCACTGTAATTTGATGCCACACGGAGAGAACCAAACCATAGTGAGTACGTAAGGGTAAGATATATGGATGAACAACTTCTTTATTACAATAAGGAGGGACGTTTCAGTGTAGATTATAACACCGTTATCAAGCTAGTGATGCACAGAGTATTTTGTTGTTGGTGCTTTAAGTTTTTAAGAGGTCGCCTTCTGTCTGAGTAATTTCGGCTGACCTGTCCCTCTTTGGGGCTCATGTGTGTGAGTAGGGTACACATATCTATTGTGAGTTTGGTATTCACAGAATTTCTGTTTTTGTATTGATATGATTTCAGAGTGTGGTTGAAAAGAATTTTTTATACAGGTGGGAGGCAGTGTTTATTCAGTAGAGTAGATTTAAGGTGTAGTAACACTGGGGTGGAGAAGCCTGTTACGTACACAAAAGGGTAAACATATTGACTGGTGAAGTCAGTAATATAAACCATACTCTGTACATCATTTGCTTGATAACGGTGTTAGAACCTACACAGAAACGTCGCTTCTAATTGTAATAAAGAAGTTAATTATGAATGCATCTTATCCTTACTTACTCACTAAACATTGGGCCCACTCCCCCCCACCCCCCACCCCACCCCCTTTCCACACACACACACCCTCTCCTTTCCGTCTTTATCTTACCTCCTTTCTAAGAAACAAAGTGGATCTTAAAATGAAGAACTAAGGTCTGATTTTTCTCTATTTTATTTTCATTCTTAGAAGTATTCCTGTGCGGCGTTAGGAATCAAGCAAACACATACCATATTCGACGTAATAAGCGCCCCGCTCTAATAAGCGCCCACGGCGACATTTGCTAATGTATTGGCTAGTGAACAAGCCCAATTAGCACCCCTTCCGATTGATCAATGTACACAAGACTTATTTATTCGCGTATAATACGCACTCGTGTGTTATATGCACCCTTAATTATGGGCAATTAAATTCTGGAAAAATATATCTGTCGTACATAAACACTTCAGGGTGTCAGCATAAACCACGAAATTTATCTTTCAACTCTGTTTTTTTTTCACCAAAATAATATTCTTATAAGAGCCACCTATTTCTAATTTCGAGAGCGCCCTGGGCGCTTATTACATCGAATACGGTTCTTTGTTATGTAAATTGTGTGAGTGACGGGTCTACCGGTAGGGCAGGACATGCTTAAACCTTTCTGAAAACCTTGTGTCATCGCTGATTTTCAGTTATCCATTCATATATTTTTTCACTACTATTTGTCCTTATACCCGCATGGAATCGGTCTCAGCAGGATGGTTGCTATCAGGCATTGACGTTTGACACGTAATTGTTTTGGTTTAAAGGGTCCCTTTTTCTAAGATTTGTGAATGAATTATTAACTACTGTGAGATTATGCACTTTGAATATAGTGGTATCAGAGTATCGGGGATATGATATTATTAATGATACTGATGCAACACCTATTCAATATGTAAAGGCGCCGCGATTCGCTGTGCAGAGTTGCGTCCCTTGGGCACACCAGAAACCTATGATTGTGGGTTGGAATCCCGGTTCGCCCCAATTATGTTTCTAGGTTTGTCAGCACCATACCCGTGTTCGTGGGTTTCACCGAAGTGGTTAAAGTCTGAGACCTGTATCACTTCAGGCTTTCCTCTCACTGTTACTGACACGCCGGGATAAAACTAGAATACTGTTAAAAGCGGCGTTAAACCCATCTCACTCACTCACTACTAAGTATGATCCGTCAAGTTTGATATTTATTACTTTGCTAGGAACCGATGCTTTTTCAGTGTTACTAATACAGTAAACTACGGTTATAACGAACTCGAGGGGACCACTAATTTTAGTTCGTAATAACCGTAGTTCGTTATAAGCATACATACAGCATATCTACAACAAATGGTCGGGACTAAAAACTAAGTTCGTTATATCCGTCAGTTCGTTATAAGCGTGTTCGTTATAAACGTAGTTTACTGTAATGGTAATAATCTTTGCCTCACCTCTCTGCCATCTCGTCATCTTGCTCTTTTGAAACTTGCTCGAACTCATTCGTAGAACAAGATTTAACATAGAACGTTTCAGCATTGGATGTATCGTGTTGTGTGACGTGTTGTACATAGCATGCCTCACACCAATACCGTAGTCATGCTAGTTTCCTTCACCCTATTCTCATTTTGTTTCTGTGTGTATCAATCGTTTGTTGTATTTTGCATGTTTTGTTATTTTTTTATAATAAAACCGTTACGTTACTTGTTGTGTTCGTAATGTCTTTTCAGTTTATTGTGTGGATGTTCATGACAATAATGTTCTTTGTCCGTTATATTATATGGACCGCCCCCGTGGTCTAGTGGTAGAGCGTCCTCCTGCAGAGCGGAAGGTCCGAGGTTCCATCCCCGGCCGCGTCGTACCCAAAAAACGTTAAAAGATGGTACTTCTTGTTACTCTGTCTGGCGCTCGGCATTAAGGGGCTGAAACTAGGACTGGTCGGCTCGGAGTCAGTATACTGTGTCTGAGTGGGGTGTTGATGTTAAACTTCAGGATGGTATCTCAGTGGGCTAGCACTATAAAATCGGCATTAGTCCGTACTAGAACAAGCAGCTACACACACACACACACACACACACACACACACACACATATATATATACACGCACGTCACTATATAAGTGCAATAATCTTGAACGCGATGTTAAACTCCATTTCACCTCAGCTCACCGTAATAATAGACATGTATGTTGTATGCGTCTTTGCGTCTAATGTACAAAGCCTACGGAGCTTAAACTTCGTGTTGTTTTTCTAAAATGTCCTCGCAGAATTCCGCTCCGATTTAAAACATGGCCATTTTGGCGGCCATATTGAAAATGTCATTTTTTGCATAATAATTATATTTTGAATTTTGATCGACTTTTGACTTGCGCGTACCTCGTTTTCGAATGTTAATGCATTTTCGACATGAACTTTGCATGAATTATCTTCGATATTGTGTCTTTTAAAAAATGCTCACGTGCTTTGTATCAGATGTTTAACATGACCACCAAGACAGCCATTTTAAGGAATCAATTAATGGCTGTTAATCGACCATCCTTTCTCAAACTGTTTTGAAATTTTGCGCTGGTGTATTACGTAGTGCGGTTTAACATATGCGTTCCAGTTTTGCGATATGATGAATTTAGACCTTGATGACGTATGTAACAATGGTAAGCGTCACCAAAGTGACACGGTTGTCATGGGCAACACAAATATCTTATATCATTTGTCCCCACTGCACACAAGCCTACAGCAATCTTTCATCCAATTATCTGCACATATTGGGGAGTAACGGCAACGAATCTGTTTTCGCATATGGTAGCCAGGGAAAACAAATTTTAGTTCGAAAAGTCAATGTTACTGCAACATTGGGAGACGCCGTCAAATTATCTGCACATTTGGGGAGTAATGGAACCGAATCTGTTTTCGCATATGGTAGCCAGGGAAAACACATTTTAGTTCGAAAAGTCAATGTTACTGCAACATTGGGAGACGCCGTCAAATTATCTGCACATATTGGGGAGTAACGGCAACGAATCTGTTTTCGCATATGGTAGCCAGGGCACACAAATTTTAGTTCGAAAAGTCAATGTTACTGCAACATTGGGAGACGCCGTCAAATTATCTGCACATATTGGGGAGTAACGGCAACGAATCTGTTTTCGCATATGGTAGCCAGGGAAAACACATTTTAGTTCGAAAAGTCAATGTTACTGCAACATTGGGAGACGCCGTCAAATTATCTGCACATATTTGGGAGTAACGGCAACGAATCTGTTTTCGCATATGGTAGCCAGGGAAAACACATTTTAGTTCGAAAAGTCAATGTTACTGCAACATTGGGAGACGCCGTCGGCAGTATGGCCTAGGGAAGTTTAACAATCCTACTTTTTTTGACATAGGAGAATATTGCAAAACAATTTTGAGCAGAACCAAATTGTCCACGGACGGCGGGCCACAGTTTCAGCCAATTTAACTGATGTGTCAGTTTGACCTTGGCTGATAATAGTTGGTAGGGACCTACATCACATGGAGAAGGGGCTTCTTGTGATGGACTGCTTCATAGGTACATGGACCCCAATACCCCGCGACACCTTGCTGTTACAAGATCTTGGCATCTTCTCCTCTGACACTGCTTGACTGATGAGGCTGAAATTTGGCATTTCAGTTGTTTTTTATGAAGACGTCTTGTCTTGTTTAATCACTGTTTTTTTTGTGGTTAAAAATCCTTCAAAATCACATTTTACAAAGTGAAGTGTCATAAACTTATAACATCTAAAGCCAGGTGAGCTACAGGGCCTTGTGGCTTTGTTTTTATCTTTCACAACGGGGTGCTTATTGCTCACTCACAAACACACGATGGTATTGAAGTGGTTTAGTAGTGCCTTTATTTACAAACACACCACGACCCACTGTGGTAGTGCCTTATTCACAAACACACCATGACCCACCGTGGTAGTGCCTTATTCAGAAACACCATGACACACTGTGGTAGTGCCTTATTCACAAACACACCATGACCCACTGTGGCAGTGCCTTATTCACAAACACACAATGACCCACTGTGGCAGTGCCTTATTCACAAACACACCATGACCCACGGTGGCAGTGCCTTATTCACAAACACACCATGACACACTGTGGTAGTGCCTTATTCACAAACACACCATGACCCACTGTGGCAGTGCCTTATTCACAAACACACAATGACCCACTGTGGCAGTGCCTTATTCACAAACACACCATGCCCCACGGTGGCAGTGCCTTATTCACAAACACACCATGCCCCACGGTGGCAGTGCCTTATTCACAAACACACCATGACCCACTGTGATAGTGTCTTATTCAGAAACACACAGTGACACTCTGCAGTAGTGCCTTATTCACAAACACACCATGCCCCACGGTGGTAGTGCCTTATTCACAAACACACAGTGACACTCTGTAGTAGTGCCTTATTCACAAACACACCATGACCCACTGTGGCAGTGCCTTATTCACAAACACACAATGACCCAGGGTGGCAGTGCCTTATTCACAAACACACCATGCCCCACGGTGGTAGTGCCTTATTCACAAACACACAGTGACACTCTGCAGTAGTGCCTTATTCACAAACACACCATGCCCCACGGTGGTAGTGCCTTATTCACAAACACACAGTGACACTCTGTAGTAGTGCCTTATTCACAAACACACCATGACCCACTGTGATAGTGCCTTATTCACAAACACACAGTGACACTCTGTAGTAGTGACTTATTCAGAAACACAACATGACTCACTGTAGTAGTGACTTATTCACAAACACACCATGACCCACCGTGGTAGTGCCTTATTCAGAAACACCATGACACACTGTGGTAGTGCCTTATTCACAAACACACCATGACCCACTGTGGCAGTGCCTTATTCACAAACACACAGTGACACACTGTGGTAGTGCCTTATTCACAAACACACCATGCCCCACGGTGGTAGTGCCTTATTCACAAACACACAGTGACACTCTGTGGTAGTGCCTTATTCACAAACACACCATGACCCACTGTGATTGACGTTTACGTTCGTGCTGTAGGTTAGGACGAAGGTTAAAGTTTAATGTGATGCGTCAGTATTCGTTCTAGCAGCACCATCATACGGTTATCAAAGACACAAGATAGCTTCGTGTTTATGTGGTTTCTTTATGCTGCAAACAAGATTCATCGTGCGTAATTTCCAGGGTCAGTGGGATGGGGTCCCTGGGCGCCCTGGTCCGCCTGCAGCAAGGCGTGTGGTGGAGGGACAAGGATCAGACTGAGGACGTGTCATGTCGCCAAGTGTGTTGGACCCAGCATGCAACCGGAAGTGTGTAATACACACACATGTTGATAAACTGTGTGAGAGACAATCGTAAGGTTATGCCAGGTTTTCAAAGGAGTTGACTGAGGTAATATGCCGAGATTGGCCAGAAGCAGAACCTTGACTTCCCCGTGGCTTATATCGAACTGGCAAAGCACATCTGTATATAGAGTTCTTTTCAGTCATCATATATATCCTTACCATGTAATAAACAGATATATACTTACAACTATGTCTCTTATTTTATCGCCAAGCCAAGAGCACATTTTGTCTTTGGCGAGCGGATGTCCGGTGGTTCGATCCCCTGTTCGCGTCATACGAAACGACGTTGAAAGATGGTTCTTGTTACCCTGCCTGGCGCTCGACATTAAGCGGACTGGTCTGTACAATACGTGGGCATCCATGTTAAACTGATGAATATGGTATCTCAGTGGGCTTGCACTATAAAACCGGCATAAGTCGCTGTTCGAGTGCATTTATTTTGAACGCGACGGAAAACCTAATATGTCCTCACAACCATGACTCAAGTACATTCTCTCTCTCTCTCTCTCTCTCTCTCTCTCTCTCTATATATATATATATATATATATATATATATATATATATATATATCTCAAACTGAGTACCATATGGTGGAATGGGGTTTAACGTCGCGTCCAAGATTATTGTGCATGTACTTATATAGCGACATGCATGTACGTGTGTGTGTGTGTGTGTGTGTGTGTGTGTGTGTGTGTGTGTGTGTGTGTGCTTGTACCAGTCCGGACTAATGCCGATTTATAATGGTAGCACACTGAGATACCATGCCGCAGTTTAACATGACTACCCAACTCAGACACAGTATACTGACTCCGAGCCGACCAGTCCTAGTTTCAGCCCCTTAATGCCGAGCGTCAGACAGGGTAACAAGAAGTACCATCTTTTAACGTTTTTTTGGTACGACGCGGCCGGGGATGGAACCTCGGACCTTCCGCTCTCCGGGCGGACGCTCTACCACTAGACCACGGAGGCCGTCCTTGTATTAATAGAACCAGAAAGAATGCTAGCATGTGTAAAAGAGACGACACAAACAAAAGGGTTAAGTGTATATTAACATAACTGATCATGAATGACTTGGATGGTGCATATCATCGTATTCGAATTGGGTGGGTCGATGCTCGAGATATCAATCATTGGATTGTCTGGTCTAGACTCGATTATTTGCAGGCGTTCAACAACAAACAAACCAAACAAGCAAACAAATAAACCCAGCCTGTAGCGGTTCCGTATCACAAATGAAAAAGGAACTCATCCGGGCGTTTGTTGCCGATTTTCAATGATGTGTACATTCCCACGTGGTAGAACAAGTTGGGCTCAAGCTGGAAGGCCGGCGTGCCCGTCGTCCGTGTGAAGTTGTAGATGATGAGGTCGGTGTGGGTGCCGGGGGGCGCGGCGGCGAGGTGTGACACAAGGGGTCGGACCATGTGGGTGGGGTAAAGCATTGCTTGAGTACAGCACCCTGGGGAAGAGCGGAACTGGTACAGGTATTTGGACACCCTCCTAAGCTCCAATACGTTCTGTCGACCAACAGCCATAGCAGTAAGCATCAAGAATAACATCCCCATAAGGAAATACCGCCCATAGAGCTTGTTTACCATCACTCTTCCTTTCACCACAAACGTCAATACGTACATGACAAATACAAAAAAGCCCCCACCAATACAACTAATACTGCAGAGCTCAAGAAGACGAATCAACTCAAACGCGAAGCCTTGCCATCTCTGTGGGTAGTACAGTTTTAGATATGCGAAACTCTTATTTTGTTGAATCATGTCTGTGTTAGGGCCAAAGTGGTTCCCTAGGGTGTAGTGTAGCACTGGGGCCAGATCGGGGTGGGCGACGGCGTCATCTTCCACCATCAGTATATACCTAGGCCCAAGTGACTGGGCCACTCGCATACAATACATATAATCATACGTCTCTTTCTCGTACACATCCTCGTGAAGCATTTGGTCGTAGGTAACTGTTTTGTTGTTGGGAACATGAAAGTCTCGTGAGTGGAAGTCCGACGACCCATACCTCTCTGTAAATGGCAGATATCGCTTGAGATCCACAGCGTCTTTGTGTGAGTGAGGTTTCACGTCGACGTTACATATAAATACAAATGTCTTGCCCATAAATTCCCTGCTTTTGGCGAACTTATCAAGAGCTGTTGCTGACTGTACGAGGTATCCCATTGTCCTGTTACCGTCATCACTGCGAGGCCTGTTGACTGTCAATACAGCCACAGCCAGGAACACTTGGTTGCCCTTCTCTAGCAGGGATGTGTAATACCTAGAGTTGTCTGTGGACAAGTTCTCAATATAACCTCGTGCCCTTTTCACCCTTTCTCTGTTCAGTAAAACAGCTTGTTTTGATGCATCAGCTCTCCGTGTTGTCAGTTTGAAATATAAAGAGAAGGGCATAGTGTAGCAGAGTAGAGGCAACAACACCAGGAACTGTAGGGAGAAGACGGCTGTAAGGGTACCAATGTGCCCCCTCTGTATGCAGCCCGGTCGCAACATCATTGTCGGTCTCATCTGTCATACGTGTAGTATATGGGCCGAACGTTACACACGTAGGTCTCCAGACAGTGCCACACATGTAGTATACGGGTCAAACGTCACACAAGTTGGTCTCCAGACAGTCACACATGTAGTATATGGGTCAAACGTCACACACGTAGGTCTCCAGACAGTGCCACACATGTAGTATATGGGTCAAACGTCACACAAGTTGGTCTCCAGACAGTGTCACACATGTAGTATATGGGCCGAACGTTACACACGTAGGTCTCCAGACAGTGCCACACATGTAGTATACGGGTCAAACGTCACACAAGTTGGTCTCCAGACAGTCACACATGTAGTATATGGGTCAAACGTCACACACGTAGGTCTCCAGACAGTGCCACACATGTAGTATATGGGTCAAACGTCACACAAGTTGGTCTCCAGACAGTCACACATGTAGTATATGGGCCGAACACAACCAAGGTGGTATCCAGACAGTGTCACACATGTAGTATATGGGTCAAACGTCACACAAGTTGGTCTCCAGACAGTGTCACACATGTAGTATATGGGCCGAACGTCACACAAGTTGGTCTCCAGACAGTGCCACACATGTAGTATATGGGCCGAACGTCACACAAGTGGGTCTCCAGACAGTGCCACACATGTAGTATATGGGCCGAACGTCACACAAGTTGGTCTCCAGACAGTGCCACACATGTAGTATATGGGTCAAACGTCACACAAGTTGGTCTCCAGACAGTCACACATGTAGTATATGGGCCGAACGTCACACAAGTTGGTCTCCAGACAGTGTCACACATGTAGTGTATGGGCCGAACGTCACACAAATTGGTCTCCAGAAAGTGTCACACATGTAGTATATGGGTCAAACGTCACACAAGTTGGTCTCCAGACAGTGTCACACATGTAGTATATGGGCCAAACGTCACACAAGTGGGTCTCCAGACAGTGTCACACATGTAGTATATAATAATAATAGGCCATCTATATTGCGCATATTTCCACACCACTCAGGGGCATGCTCAAAGCGCTGTTATTACCCCGGTCACTGGATCAGAATGTAATCAAGAATCATTCTCAGCTCCCTGGAGAGTATACAACGAATTCGTTACGAATGTCACATATGTGTTAGAGTGATCAACTATTCACACACGCGAATTGTTAACGAATGTCACAGGTACCTCAATAAGGTCTTCCATTCCCCAAGTATGTTTGTAGGCAGTGTCACAGATACGTCCCAAAGCCGTGAATGTCCCAGATACATCAGAACGGACAATATCACCTCTGAATCCCGTCTTAAGTTCGGCCATCTTGATCCAGTCAATGGAATTTCTGCTGAGGTCACTTTCATCCACCTACAACATCACATCATCATCAGTTAAATACGCACACCCATTCGCAAGTCAAATATCAAAATGCAGTCGGTGAAGGAAATAATTGATTTCTTTGTCTTTTAGTGACGTCTGTGAAAACGTGAATAAGTCGGCTCCAAAAGAAGTGCATATTTAATATACCCGTAATATCTACCCGTATTGTTTCCTGTCAGTTGTGCACACGCCAGGTAGTATGATACGGGATGACCAGAAATCTGCTAACACGGCCTGGTGGTGTGGGTGACTATGTCAACAGCAACCTCAGGTAACATCCAGATGCACGAATAGGTCATGGACACATATTTGATCGGGATGGGCGGCGTAACCTCGGAATGTCCCCAATCCTTTATCTCCCGTCTGAACCCCCCACATTTGCACTTTAGGAACTGTCTACCGACAGACGCCACAACACAATACCGTCACATTAACGGAACAGTTACACAAAAACACAAGTTTAAAATGATCCTTGTGCCTGAGAGATGATAAAAAATATACTTCGAAACAAACTTTGTTCACTAAGAATGTGTGCTCCTGTTATGTTTTTACAAAACAACAATGTTTAATCAGAATATAATTACCTCCACGTACACACGTGCCTGTTTCTGTCATCTCGCCCTAATTCAGTCTGCAATGTTGAGCAATCCGATATTTGATACGACACACGTGTCATTTTGTGGCGTCGGTCCTAAGACCCCGATAACGTTGAAGATGTCAGTATTTTCACATACCAGTCAATTAGAGGTTAACACGTGACTCCAAGGAGGCTCTACACGCCCAGTCAAATTACTTTTACATACTGTCAAGGTGTGTCTGTCCCTCGAACATTTCTCCTGCCAGGGGCGGATAACTCTTTTGTTTGTCAACTGTGACGTTCAGTAAACGTGTGGATCGATAAGTGTTTGCCTCTGAGTGATGCTTGAGAGCAACACACTATTGAGTTGTGTTTACAGAAAACAAAACATTAATCACGTAAAGCTAAAATGTACCATGTATATCAACTACAAATTAAAGCTTTAAATATTTTACAAAGCTTCGTTGAATCGCGTTAGGTGTTATCAATTGTTGAGGTGACAAAATATGCAACGTTTGTAATCTCTTAAAGGTCAAACAATTTATCCTTGTAAACAAAGAAGGTAAGCTGTGTTAATCCACCTCGCACCCCTACATGCCACATCTTTCTTGTAGTTCCGCTTGTCCACCTCTCTCTCCATCTCGCATCCCTACATGCCACATCTGTCTTGAAGTTCCCCTTGTCCACCTCTCTCTCCACCTCGCACCCCTACATGCCACATCTGTCTTGAAGTTCCCCTTGTCCACCTCTCTCTCCATCTCGCACCCCTACATGCCACATCTGTCTTGAAGTTCCCCGTGTCTACATCTCTCTCCACCTCGCACCCCTACATGCCACATCTGTCTTGAAGTTCCCCGTGTCTACATCTCTCTCCACCTCGCACCCCTACATGCCACATCTGTCTTGAAGTTCCCCTTGTCTACATCTCTCTCCACCTCGCACCCCTACATGCCACATCTGTCTTGAAGTTCATCGTGTCTACATCTCTCTCCATCTCGCACCCCTACATGCCACATCTGTCTTGAAGTTCCCCTTGTCTACATCTCTCTCCATCTCGCACCCCTACATGCCACATCTGTCTTGAAGTTCATCGTGTCTACATCTCTCTCCATCTCGCACCCCTACATGCCACATCTGTCTTGAAGTTCCCCTTGTCTACATCTCTCTCCACCTCACACCCCTACATGCCACATCTGTCTTGAAGTTCCCCGTGTCTACATCTCTCTCCATCTCGCACCCCTACATGCCACATCTGTCTTGTAGTTCCCCTTGTCTACATCTCTCTCCACCTCGCACCCCTACATGCCACATCTGTCTTGAAGTTCCCCGTGTCTACATCTCTCTCCATCTCGCACCCCTACATGCCACATCTGTCTTGAAGTTCCCCTTGTCTACATCTCTCTCCACCTCGCACCCCTACATGCCACATCTGTCTTGAAGTTCCCCTTGTCCACCTCTCTCTCCACCTCGCTACCCTACATGCCACATCTGTCTTGAAGTTCCCCTTGTCTACATCTCTCTCCACCTCGCACCCCTACATGCCACATCTGTCTTGAAGTTCCCCTTGTCTACATCTCTCTCCACCTCACACCCCTACATGCCACATCTGTCTTGAAGTTCCCCTTGTCCACCTCTCTCTCCATCTCGCACCCCTACATGCCACATCTGTCTTGAAGTTCCCCATGTCCACCTCTCTCTCCACCTCGCACCCCTACATGCCACATCTGTCTTGAAGTTCCCCGTGTCTACATCTCTCTCCACCTCGCTACCCTACATGCCACATCTGTCTTGAAGTTCCCCTTGTCCACCTCTCTCTCCATCTCGCACCCCTACATGCCACATCTGTCTTGAAGTTCCCCTTGTCTACATCTCTCTCCACCTCGCACCCCTACATGCCACATCTGTCTTGAAGTTCCCCTTGTCCACCTCTCTCTCCATCTCGCACCCCTACATGCCACATCTGTCTTGAAGTTCCCCTTGTCCACCTCTCTCTCCATCTCGCACCCCTACATGCCACATCTGTCTTGAAGTTCCCCTTGTCCACCTCTCTCTCCATCTCGCACCCCTACATGCCACATCTGTCTTGAAGTTCCCCTTGTCCACCTCTCTCTCCATCTCGCACCCCTACATGCCACATCTGTCTTGTAGTTCCCCTTGTCCACCTCTCTCTCCACCTCGCTACCCTACATGCCACATCTGTCTTGTAGTTCCCCGTGTCTACATCTCTCTCCACCTCGCACCCCTACATGCCACATCTGTCTTGAAGTTCCCCTTGTCTACATCTCTCTCCACCTCGCACCCCTACATGCCACATCTGTCTTGAAGTTCCCCTTGTCCACCTCTCTCTCCATCTCGCACCCCTACATGCCACATCTGTCTTGTAGTTCCCCTTGTCCACCTCTCTCTCCACCTCGCACCCCTACATACCACATCTGTCTTGAAGTTCCCCGTGTCTACATCTCTCTCCACCTCGCTACCCTACATGCCACATCTGTCTTGTAGTTCCCCTTGTCTACATCTCTCTCCACCTCGCTACCCTACATGCCACATCTGTCTTGTAGTTCCCCTTGTCTACATCTCTCTCCACCTCGCTACCCTACATACCACATCTGTCTTGAAGTTCCCCGTGTCTACATCTCTCTCCACCTCGCACCCCTACATGCCACATCTGTCTTGAAGTTCCCCTTGTCTACATCTCTCTCCACCTCGCTACCCTACATGCCACATCTGTCTTGAAGTTCCCCTTGTCCACCTCTCTCTCCACCTCGCACCCCTACATGCCACATCTGTCTTGAAGTTCATCGTGTCTACATCTCTCTCCATCTCGCACCCCTACATGCCACATCTGTCTTGAAGTTCATCGTGTCTACATCTCTCTCCATCTCGCATCCCCTACATGCCACATCTGTCTTGAAGTTCATCGTGTCTACATCTCTCTCCATCTCGCACCCCTACATGCCACATCTGTCTTGAAGTTCCCCTTGTCTACATCTCTCTCCACCTCGCACCCCTACATGCCACATCTGTCTTGAAGTTCCCCTTGTCTACATCTCTCTCCATCTCGCACCCCTACATGCCACATCTGTCTTGAAGTTCCCCTTGTCCACCTCTCTCTCCACCTCGCACCCCTACATGCCACATCTGTCTTGAAGTTCCCCTTGTCCACCTCTCTCTCCACCTCTCACCCCTACATGCCACATCTGTCTTGAAGTTCCCCGTGTCTACATCTCTCTCCATCTCGCACCCCTACATGCCACATCTGTCTTGAAGTTCATCGTGTCTACATCTCTCTCCATCTCGCACCCCTACATGCCACATCTGTCTTGAAGTTCCCCTTGTCTACATCTCTCTCCACCTCACACCCCTACATGCCACATCTGTCTTGAAGTTCCCCTTGTCCACCTCTCTCTCCACCTCGCACCCCTACATGCCACATCTGTCTTGAAGTTCCCCTTGTCTACATCTCTCTCCACCTCGCTACCCTACATGCCACATCTGTCTTGAAGTTCCCCTTGTCCACCTCTCTCTCCACCTCGCACCCCTACATGCCACATCTGTCTTGAAGTTCCCCTTGTCCACCTCTCTCTCCACCTCGCACCCCTACATGCCACATCTGTCTTGAAGTTCCCCTTGTCTACATCTCTCTCCACCTCGCACCCCTACATGCCACATCTGTCTTGAAGTTCCCCTTGTCCACCTCTCTCTCCACCTCGCACCCCTACATGCCACATCTGTCTTGAAGTTCATCGTGTCTACATCTCTCTCCACCTCTCACCCCTACATGCCACATCTGTCTTGAAGTTCCCCTTGTCCACCTCTCTCTCCACCTCGCACCCCTACATGCCACATCTGTCTTGAAGTTCCCCGTGTCTACATCTCTCTTCACCTCGCACCCCTACATGCCACATCTGTCTTGAAGTTCCCCTTGTCTACATCTCTCTCCATCTCGCACCCCTACATGCCACATCTGTCTTGAAGTTCCCCTTGTCCACCTCTCTCTCCACCTCGCACCCCTACATGCCACATCTGTCTTGAAGTTCCCCTTGTCCACCTCTCTCTCCACCTCGCACCCCTACATGCCACATCTGTCTTGAAGTTCCCCGTGTCTACATCTCTCTCCATCTCGCACCCCTACATGCCACATCTGTCTTGAAGTTCATCGTGTCTACATCTCTCTCCATCTCGCACCCCTACATGCCACATCTGTCTTGAAGTTCCCCTTGTCTACATCTCTCTCCACCTCACACCCCTACATGCCACATCTGTCTTGAAGTTCCCCTTGTCCACCTCTCTCTCCACCTCGCACCCCTACATGCCACATCTGTCTTGAAGTTCCCCTTGTCTACATCTCTCTCCACCTCGCTACCCTACATGCCACATCTGTCTTGAAGTTCCCCTTGTCCACCTCTCTCTCCACCTCGCACCCCTACATACCACATCTGTCTTGAAGTTCCCCGTGTCTACATCTCTCTCCACCTCGCTACCCTACATGCCACATCTGTCTTGTAGTTCCCCTTGTCTACATCTCTCTCCACCTCGCTACCCTACATGCCACATCTGTCTTGTAGTTCCCCTTGTCTACATCTCTCTCCACCTCGCTACCCTACATACCACATCTGTCTTGAAGTTCCCCGTGTCTACATCTCTCTCCACCTCGCTACCCTACATGCCACATCTGTCTTGTAGTTCCCCTTGTCTACATCTCTCTCCACCTCGCTACCCTACATGCCACATCTGTCTTGTAGTTCCCCTTGTCTACATCTCTCTCCACCTCGCTACCCTACATACCACATCTGTCTTGAAGTTCCCCGTGTCTACATCTCTCTCCACCTCGCTACCCTACATGCCACATCTGTCTTGAAGTTCCCCTTGTCTACATCTCTCTCCATCTCGCACCCCTACATGCCACATCTGTCTTGAAGTTCCCCGTGTCTACATCTCTCTCCACCTCGCACCCCTACATGCCACATCTGTCTTGTAGTTCCCCTTGTCCACCTCTCTCTCCATCTCGCACCCCTACATGCCACATCTGTCTTGAAGTTCCCCTTGTCCACCTCTCTCTCCACCTCGCACCCCTACATGCCACATCTGTCTTGAAGTTCATCGTGTCTACCTCTCTCTCCATCTCGCACCCCTACATGCCACATCTGTCTTGAAGTTCCCCGTGTCTACATCTCTCTCCACCTCGCTACCCTACATGCCACATCTGTCTTGTAGTTCCCCGTGTCTACATCTCTCTCCACCTCGCACCCCTACATACCACATCTGTCTTGTAGTTCCCCTTGTCCACCTCTCTCTCCACCTCACACCCCTACATACCACATCTGTCTTGAAGTTCCCCTTGTCCACCTCTCTCTCCACCTCACACCCCTACAAACCACATCTGTCTTGAAGTTCCCCTTGTCCACCTCTCTCTCCATCTCGCACCCCTACATGCCACATCTGTCTTGAAGTTCCCCTTGTCCACCTCTCTCTCCATCTCGCACCCCTACATGCCACATCTGTCTTGAAGTTCCCCTTGTCCACCTCTCTCTCCACCTCGCACCCCTACATGCCACATCTGTCTTGAAGTTCCCCTTGTCCACCTCTCTCTCCACCTCGCTACCCTACATGCCACATCT